ATTAGTATTAAAATAATTTAATTTATATACAGTTTTTAATCGTCATGTTTCGACGTGTCACACGTCATCATCAGGTAATAATGCTACTACCGGTTTATATACTACCGGTCAGATGTACGACAAAACAAGCAAATATTGAGGTTAGTCATGTATGAAGAGGTCATGAATACTTCGGTAAGTCATGCATGTTGATTAAAAGCTATATACATTTTATTAGTTGCATTATACTGCATTGGTATTATAATAATTGTAATTAATAATGTTATCAAGATTGTTATTGTTATTTTCTCTATGTTTTGGTCTATCAATTTGTTATGTTGTGTTTTTGGAAATAAAAAAAAAAGTAAACAGAAAAAAAAAACTCTCCCCAAGCTGCTGTGGGCGTCCCCATGACAACAAGGAAGATGGTCGTGGAAGTTTACGCACGCGACCATCTTCATAAAATTCCACCCATTCTTTCCCCCCCCCCCCACACACCAACCACACCTTTCAAACTCTGATGATCCGCACTCAGAGTCAATTCAACATGCCGGAGGGCTCTTTCTGTTTTTACAATATGTCTCGTAAAGACCAACTATTTTGTCTATCCAATGTTTTCCCACTCTATGCGCTATGCTCTATTAGGCATTCTCACACACCTGACTCTAGTTCCGTTGCCTCTGGGTCGTACAGTGGTATAAGCAACAATACCGATCATTGTCTTTTGAGAACCCGCTTTGGATTCCTCGTTATGCGATGATGAATTTAATATGAACAAGGGTTTTCAGAATTCAATCTGAATTAGGAGAGAAAGTATAGTGTCATTAATTGCGTCAGATCACCCAATGGTAAACACCTCAATTCGATTGTCTGTGCCAGACAATGGACACTAACCCATACAATGGAAAATGAAATTCATATATTCCACACAAAATTTTTTCGACGCATCTCACGCATCAAATTGCCAGATAAACCTTTACACACACACAAATGGGAAGAGCTTGAGTAGAGTAGCAAAAGAAAGGACGTCTGACCTGGTATAGAAATTCTCCTTCGCTTTCGTCTAATATTCCAACACAAAGGGCACTTTTCGAATCAATGGAAAAGTCAGGCTACAAAGAGGACGACCAAAACCCACATGGATTGAGAGGGACACTAAAAGAAAAATAAGATATATCCACATACTGGCCGATTGGAGAAGTCTTGTCGGGTGCGGTATGTCGCAAGACGTTTAGCGAGGATGATGAGATCTAACACGTCATAATAACAGATTGTGATTTTTTTTCCCTGTTACGTCGCAAGACTCTGGTCGACTGAACCCAATATAGTTACTGAAGATGCTTTTTTTTTTGTTTTTATAAAAGATAAATTAAAGATTATTCGTATTCGTAAAGCTATCTTGTTTAACATGTCTTTTGCTATTGTTTTTGAACTGTATGTTAAAGTGTTGCTAGAGGATATTGTCGTTGGCCCACGCTTCGCATAGTTAAAGATGCATTATATGCATATAACCTACACAAATGCCAGATTACTACATTGGTCAATGTTATTCGACAAAAATATGCTAATGCTTTATTGTGGTTGGGTAATATACAAATGCTTGAATGCTATTTGAGAGACAAATTTGTAATTCAGTCCGAGTTTGATTACAGACTCAAAACAGGCAATTGCAACTTCGGGAGTTTGTGGAAATATTTAGCTACAAAGTGAATGTAGTACATGTAGGCTACAATCGTTTAATGTTGGACTGAAAAGAGATGAAGACCGTAACACATCTTCGTATTCGAGCAAGAACTCTAATACTGTGTCTTGGCGGTCTACTTGTATAGGGTAAGTCGGGGATTAATAAATATCTATCCATACAAAAAACAAGCCATGAAGAGCTTCGTATCTTTTGAATTCATTCAAAGCTACTTCATATCTTATATAATATATATTATTTAGGCATTTAGGTATGCTTGAAGTACACTCTGTAAAAAAAATAATAAAATATCGGCTTTTTTGTCTGACATTTTAATATTTAACTACTGTTGTTTACGTTTTTAGTAACATCAGGTGATCATACTTCATGAATGTATACATTTTAGATTACTTCACTGCAATGTCGATGATGTTTTATGGTTGTCAATATTATACTTTATCAGTGAAATAATGAAATGCCCTACAATAGGTCCTAAACGAAGTAAAATGTGCTCAATATCGAATATTTTCTTACATATTTATGTTATAAGTAACGTAATAAAAGCGTTAAAACTGTTGAGAATTAAGAGTTTTACCTAATAGACCTAACCAATGCACCGCGGGGAGGGGGCGCTATTCGAGTGAAGCGGGCATTTTAATAGGTTTCTTTGAGGAAATCTGACAAAAATAATACTGTACAAATTTGAAAAAAAAAATACACATACCCCTCCCATACATGGAGTGTTCACAGCTTGGAATCAAAGATTACACAGGGGAAATTAAGGTAAAAAATCCCAAAACCACCTTCCCAATACAATGGGTGTTCACAGCTGGGCAGGTTCTTTATGTTGCTTATGGATTTTAGGTCAACGCTCATTCTTCTTTCTGGCAACATTTTAAAACCCTAAGTAGCAAGAAATTAGGTCGAATTCAATCAAGGTAGAACCGGTGACACCTCCCATACATGGGTGCTTACAGCTTGGGATCAAAGGCCACATAGGGTTCATTAGGGTCAAAACCCCCATTTCTGTCACAAATAACAAGGTTGAGACCTCGTTCCGACGACGAAGGGGAGCCTAGATAAATAATAATAATAATTTAGCGTCTAAAGAAGCCTAATTTACTCCACGGACATTTGCGAGATGGTCAGAAAGAAACCCTTGTATCCGTCCCTTGGCCCTGAACAGATGATACAGTTTTCATTATGAATTTGCTGGGAAAATTTATAGGAAAATATATGCGCAGAATCGTAACTAATGCATTATTCATTGATTATATATTAAGATTAGGTCATGGCCTAATATTCGGCAAAATCTGCCAGGAAATCGGCCTCTATTTTCCGGATTTTTACGCCTAATTTTTGAGCGGAGAATTTTTTGACCCCGCAATATGAATGTATGTTTATAAATATAAGTATATACGACAGTAGATATGTATATCAAAAAATATAAAGAAACAATGATGGACTGACCCTGTATTATGTATAAGTTTAAGAGCTAAAATGGGTGTAATTCTAAGAAAGTAGGCCTATATGTTTTATATTTTTGTTATTTTGAGGTTTTTGATTTTCAAAAAAATAAAAAGTAACAAAAAGAGAAAGAAATAATGGTGAGTGAAATTCCCACAAAAGAGAAAAAAAACCCTCTGCACTCAGTTTGTTGATGGTCAACCGTATTCAGACAACCGCTATAGGACCGGAATCAGTAGCACGTGGCATTCCTATATCCTAATAGAATTCTAATGAATCCATCTACGTATACGTATTCATACATACAATATAATAAATATAGAAACATGTATAATATA